TGAGCCAGCCACATAGAAAGCAAATGCCCTACCTGCTGTACTATCTCCCTGGCCCCCTATACTATGCTTTTAAAAACAGAATAGAGGGCAGAGCAATGGTACAGCAGGTAAGGCACTTCCCTTGCATGTAGACGACCTGGGTGCAATCCTATGAACTCCCTATGGTCCCCTAAGAACCACTTGGAGAGGTAGTTGAGCACAAAGCCAGGAGTAAGCCCTGAGCACTGCACCATGCGGCTGCAAAGCCAAAAGGAAGAAAACAGATTATATGAACAAAAAGCATTAACTTCTAAATTCATAGCTCCTTTTCCTTGTCTTTAAAAGGTCATGGCAAAGGTAGTTAAGTATTATCTAAAGAACATATGGGGGCTGGAGCGATAGTACAGTAGGTAGGGCTTTTGCCTTGCATGCGGCCAACCCAGGTTTAATTCCCAGCATCCCATATGGTCCCCTGAGCACCGCCAGGAGTTAACCCCTGTGCATTGCCGGGTGTGACCCCCCCAAAAAAAAAGAAAAAAAAAGAACATGTGAGAGTGGAAAAAACAAAAAGTACCAATGCTTATTTTGTGCTCCAAATTTTATCTTAAATTGGCATATCCACACATCTATTTAACCTTGTGCAAATAGAGACTTTAAAATCCAGAACCCGGACGAGAACAGTGCAGTCTCTGCCCCCGCGCCTGGGTGTTCCTTCCCGGAGTCCCTTGGAGGGGAGCGGGTTGAGCTTTCCTCCCCGCCCCGGCCAGGGCTACGGCAGCCGGAGACCTCCAGGACCAGCCACCACCATGCTGAGACCACTCTCCGCACACCTGAAGGTACTGGCAGAGGGACAAAGCCACGCGGGTTCCGGGGCCGAGACCTCCAAGCCTACTCGAATTGGAGTCGAGCATCTTCCACCCAGATCCTCCAAATTCCAGTAGGCGGGGGTAACACCCACCACCTGGCCCCCTGGCGCCGTGTAATTCCATCAGCGGCCAAGACTCAGAGACTTTAAAATCCAGAACCCGGAACCGCGCGGCCGCATTCGCGGCCGCGCGACATCTTAACAGAACTTTTTTTTTTTATGACATCTTATTGTCTTATTCCTACTTTGGACAAACTTGCAGGCTATTGAATGTAGCCTGCCCACAGGGCAGAGTCTGGCAAACTCCCCGTGGCGTACCAAATATGCCAAATACCAGTAACAATGATGGGTCTCATTCTCCTAAATAGCCTTGAATATAATCTCAGGGCAAGGATGAAAGAGACGTTACTGGGGCCTGCTCGAGGCAATCGACGAATAACAGGATGATGAAATGAAATGAAATGAAATGAAATAGAAAATAGCTCTGCTATACATAGAATTGTTAGGGATTAAGCTTATTTTTAAAATTATATTAAAGGCATCAAAATAAGAAAGAAAGAAGTTTTCACTATTTGCGGTGACATGATACTATATTTAAAAAACACTAAATACTATACCTAAAAAAAACTTCTAGAAACAAATGATTTGTATAGTAAAGTGGCAGGCTACAGAATTAACACACAAAAGTCCATGGGTTTTCTATATGCAAATAATGAAATAGAAGACCGGTTTTGTTTTTAAATTCCATCCACAATTTTGCCCCATAAAAAACAAGTACCTAGGAACCAGCCTAACAAAAGAGACAAAAGACCTATACAACGAAGATGAGGAAGCACTACTTCGAGAAATAAAAGAGGATACAAGTTAATGGAAATACATCCATCCCCTGCTTATGGATCAGGAGGATTAACATTGTCAAAACGGCAATGCACCCCCAAAGCACTGTACAGATTCAATGTAGTCCCTATTTTTAAAAATGACATTTTTCAAAGAAATAAATCAAGAACTCCTGAAATTCATATGGAACAATAACCACACTCCCAACCTACCCTCTGAATAGCCAAAGCAATCCTCAGGGAAAAAGAAGATGGGAGGCTGAGTGAAATGAATCGGGGAGAATTCCAGACACAGAATGATCTCACTTATTTGCAGAAAATAAAGAAATACTGGGGAATAACTGATACCCAAAGACAACACAATGAAGAGCAGAACTGTTTCTTAGTAGGAATGTTGTTAATATCGGGCAGAGGGGAATGATCAAGGAAGGGACCACTAGGACAATGACAGAAGATGGTGGTCATCTGGATGAGGACTGTGCGCTGAAAGGAGGTAAAATGATATTAGGTTAAATGATAGGTAAATGATACCCAATCAATAACATTAATATAAACCAAAGTGCCTAAAAGAAAAAGAGAAAAAGGAAAAAAATGCCTGCCAGAGTTGGGGGATGGAGGGAGAAGGGAAACTAGAGATACTGGTGGAGGAAAGTGGACATGAAGGGATCAGTGTTGGAACACTGTATACCTAAAACTCAATCACGAATAACTTTGTAAACTTGTAACTCATGGTGACTAAAAATTATTTTTGTTACCATTTCTTATTAATACTTTAGTTTCCTATGGTTTTTTTTTTAAAAAAAATAAGGGTAGATTTATCTGTCTATTTAAAATTTCTTAGTTGCTGGTAATAGAGTTTACGTAAGCATCCTGTTTTGGGGATGTCCACTCAATGCAGTAGACATAGCATCCTTGGTATACTGACTGAAATGAGGTTAATGCACATATGTGTTTAGCGAACGAATGGAATACTCTAAAATCATTATGTTGGGAAGACAGACATATGAAAATTTTATAAGGTGCCACAACCAAACACACATAAAGTATCCGATTAGAACAGGAAAAGCTGTGACTAAAGTGAGTGGCTATGAAGTGTGCAGGTAGCTGGGATACCTGGGGAGTCTTGAGATAAACAGATAATAGAGCAGAAGGGAGTTCCAGACAATGAAAATTTGAAGTGCGAAGACTCACTGAGTTGAACAGTGGGCGTTACGGCAGACCCATGAGAAAGATGGACAAAGAAATGTGGCTGAAGAATGTGGGCAGGATGCAGATGATGAAGAACTCTGTAATCTACCCTAAAGGATTCAGATTTTGACCCATAAAACCCCCTTGTGATTCCCCCATGCTATATGAAGGCCACAAGATTTTCTGGGAAAAATTTGATCTTCTATTTCATAAAAATCTAAACAAGTCTAACCAACGGGCATTCTGGATCAACAGATGACCACCTTTTATTGACTCGTTACAATTCTCAAGTTTTTGTTTTGAAACACTCTGGCAAAAATGTAGGCACCACTTATCACTGGCACATGTTACTGAGAAAGAAATGGAGATATAGAATAACAGATTACCAAATGAAATTATGACACTGAACAAAAGGTTTTGCAGAAGTTTAAAGAAAATGTGAGGGAGGGATAAGAAATTGAGGAACTCCTCAATCCAAAGGTAGTAAGACAGGCCTTATTAGATAATTGGGCTGGAGCGATAGCAGAGCAGGTAGGGCATTTGCCTTGCATGAGGCTGACCTGGGTTCAATTCCCCGTGGCATATTCGATATGCCAAAAACAGTAACAAGTATCAAAATGGAGCCGTTACTGGTGCCCGCTTGAGCAATTTGATGAACAACAGAACAGTGTAATTAGATAATCAAGAACAATGTACATTCCCTTGTAGAGAGGGCCGGGTCCAGCAAAACCCTTCTCATTGGTCACAATGGTTTGACAGTTTTGCTTCATTTGTGCATATTCACTTGAATCTATTGGTTTTAGAGATGTGCTTCATTTAACATATAAATGTTGTCACAGTCGTATAAACAAGACAAGAGAGGTTATATAGTTTTATATTTGCCTCTATTTAACAGCCTTGCAATAAACTAACAATAGGGAATCCTGGGTAGCTACTCTGATTTGAGAAACCTTGCTTTGGGAGAGTGGGAGTCACTGAAGGATTTTAATACGGAAACGACAGTTTTGTGCTTTAGAGATGTTATTCTGGCAGCCGTGTGGAGAGTTGGAAATGAAAGTTATTCAAGGCAGGCAAAATGGAGGCTACTTGAGATAATGTGATAAAATGGCGAGGCGCTAAATGACACACAGTGAACATGAAGCGGAGAAAGGGGTTTACCGAAAGAGTTCGACTCGGAAAGACTTGGCTGTGGAGAAGGGGAAGAACATCTGGGATAACTGTCTAGTGACTTGGTGAGAAAAAGACCCCACGAGTGGGGGAAGGAGGAGGAGGGCGGATGGGAAAGAGGGAAGGGGAAGAGACAATTCCACAGTGATTTGATTTTCATTTCAGCCAAAGAAAATCCAGTTATCTTTTCTGGGCCCCAGTTTTCTCAGAGTCAGCTGCGTTCATGAATTACCAAATTAACCACTGCAGTGCTCTCCAAAAATACACAAAGCATTGCACAGTTATGCTGAAAATAAGTCATCAGAAATCAGCAAAAGCCCAGGCCCTTGCAGAAAATTCAGCAGGGTTCAAAACAGACAGGGCAAACTTCCACTGAACACTTCAATCGTGCCCCCAAAGCTCTGACCCACCCTGCATTATCTTTTTTTCTTTTCTTCTGGTCAGATAAACTCTAGTGAACCGAGGCAGCTAATTCGAGCCCACGTGGGAGAGCTGACTCCACCCTCGCCGGACTTACAACTGGCCACCACACCTGTCCAGGAGCTTGAGCTCAAGAACGTGGCTTGCTGGGAACTTACACCTTTGCAAGCAGGGCCCGTTAACAAACTTATCTTTCACTTAAAAGGAATCAACGTGGACTATCTTAGGCAGTCCACCAAGAATGTAAACATTTCCGACGTTGTCCCTCTAAGGAGGGGAGTGGGGGCTGGGGGAGGGTGGGGAAGGAAAGGAGAAGACGCAAGAAAAATGCAGCAAGTCCAGCAATACCAGCCCGCGTCTTTCTCCGGCCACACAGCGGAGGGGAAAAGGAGTCATTCACCCCTAGTTTGGTGGAGAAACCAGCATCTTTCCCCCACGAGCTAGTAAAACGAAAGCATCGTGTCCTCGGATCCCAAAGGTCTCAAACCATCGCTTCATTCACCACGTCCACCGTGCGACAGCGGGGAGAGAGCGGCGGGGCGTACCTTGATAAGAGCACAGGACGCTCGCTTGGGTGAGGTCAGACTCGACACCGCACCCTTGGGAGGGAAAGAAGGGGCTGCGGGGGGAGGCAAAGCGCCGAACCCTGAGCGCAAGTGCGCACGCACCGCCCGCAGCCTCGCACTGTGGGTTCAGTGGCAGCACAGCGCCCCCAGGTTCTCCTCGGAGAGCCGCGTGCACACCCGGAAAGGCGGGTCAGCCCGACGGCTCGGCCTCCGCCCGGACCACGGAGGAAAGGAGGGGAGGGGGCGTGGCCTCGGCAGGAATGCCGCCCCGCTGCCTGCTGGGAAATGTAGTCCTGGGCCCTGGCCACCGGCCTGCGCAGGGCGCTGGGAACTACATTTCCCGGTGGTAAGAAAGAGGCTGCGGCCGGCCGAGCCCGACGGGAGCGTCAGAGTGGCCGCAGCCGGCGCCGGCGCCGGAGCAGGTTTAAGGGGGCCGGTGGTGACGGGCTTGTCTGTTTCTCTTCCCCGATCTCTGCATTCGATAACCCCGCTGCTCGTATCAGCTGCTTTCGGTGCCCTTCCAAAGAATTGGGAACCTCGCGGTAGCTGCCGTTGCCCCCCACCCCCCGCGAGAGTGAGGGGCGCACCCCCTCTTTGCCTCCACCAACCCCACTCCCTCCATGGGCCCAATCCGGAAGCCCAACGTGTGCCACCGGCTGCATCGGCGGGCGCTGGGCTTCTTCTCGCGCGACGCAGGCGTGGTGCAGAGGACGAACCTGGGCATCCTGCGCTCGCTGGTGTGCCAGGTGACCGCCCGGCGGCCGGGACGGCGGGGCTCAGTCCTGATGCTCTAGAGCATAAGATGAGGTCCCAGGTGATGAGGAGGGGGTTCCTTGCCCTGAACCCGGGCATTAATAAATAGCTATTAGGAGGGCTGCAGTTTTAAAACTGATTCGTTCTACCTGCAAACAATTATTATTACTATTATTATTTGGATGGGGGCGAGGGGGCGGGTCCAGCCACAAGTGCTGACTCCGTGCTCAGGAGCAAGCAATCTCTTAAAAGTTGGTCGCCCGACTTAGACTAAAACTGGAGAGCAAAATGAGGAAGAATCTGGATACTGTGTTTTTATTTAAGTACAAGAAATTTACTTGAAAGTTGTACATTGAACTGCTCAATTGAAAATGGGTGGACAGTAGAGGCTTATGAGTGATTTGCTAAACAGATGCCTTATTTCTTTCAGGAAAGTACTAAATTTAAGAATGTTTGGACAACTCATTCCAAATCACCTATAGCCTATGAAAGAGGAAGAATATATTTTGACAATTATCGGTGCTGTGTCAGCAGGTATCTTTTTGGTGAACTTTTTTTTTTGTAATGGTTATTCACCTATCTTAATGTTAATTCTAATTTTTATATAACGACATCCCTAGGCTAGAACCTAGTGAAATAGGAGAAATAAAAAAGTGAATCCAAAGTAAGAGTAAGTGGTAAAACTTGTGAAAACTTCAAATTTTGTAAAATCGAAAGTTGCAGCTCTCAAACCCTTTGTAAATGTTCATTTAAAGTGAAGCTGTACTGCAGGGGAAATGATAGATTGCTTGGAGTACCGTATAGAATTTTACTTTACTTTAAGGCTTCCAGAGTCAAGAGAGATAGGTATCTAATAATTAGATGGTGCTTTAAAGAATTTCTGTGTTTGGGGAGTATTTGTCTTTTTTGTTGAAAAGAAAAAAATTAACTTGGTCAAGTAGAGAATATTGTAGTGAATCCCAGTATTCTGATTACTTCCATTCAGAAGCTATCAAGATTTGTCACATTGGCTTTATCCCAGTCTCCTTTACATCTTTGCTAAGTATTTAAAAACGAATTCAACAATGTCATATTTTTAAAATTTTTATTGAATTACAAAGTTACTCATGAGTGAATTTTAGGTGTACAATGTTCCAACACCAATCCCTTCAACAGTTTCCACTTCTCTCTACCAATATTCCCAGTGTCCATTGCATCCCTCCAGCCTGCCTTTTTGACAGTCACTTCTTCCTTTTTTTTCCTTTTAGGGACAGTAGTTTACAATACTATTATTGAGAAGGTATCATGCATATCATTACCTTCTTTCAGTACGCAGTCCTGGTCCAGAGTGACCACTTCCCTCTATCATTGTCATAGTGGTGTCTTCCCTGACCTATCCCACCCCCCACCCCCCCCCCACCCCAGTGGCAAGCTTCCTACTAAGGACCAGTTCTCCTGCCCTTCATTTTTATTGTTTGGGAGCTTTAGTTATTCCTTTACTTTGTTTCTTTATATCCCATATTTGAGTGAGATCATTCTGTATCTGTCCCTTTCCCTCTGACACATTTCACTTAGCATGATACTCTCCAGATTCATTCAGAATGTGCCATATTTAAGTTTTTTTTTCCTTTTTGGGTCACACCCAGTGATGTTCAAGTGTTACTCCTGGCTCTGCACTCAGGAATTACTCCTGGCAGTGCTCAGGGTACCATTTGGGATGCTGGGAATTGAACCTGGGTCAGCCGCATGCAAGGCAAACGCCCTACCCGCTGTACTATCACTCCAGCCCCTAAGTATTTAAAAAAAAAAAAGTATGGGTAATGACACTGGGACTTGATCCCCGGCACCCCATAGGATCCCCTGAACCCACCAGGCATGATCTCTGAGCACAGAGCCAGAATTAAGCCCTGAGCACAGAAGGAAGGGAGGGAGAGAGGGAGGAAGGAAGGAAGGAGGATTGACTTTGTTTCGTTTGTGACCACACTCTGTATGTTCAGGGACTACTTTAGGCTCTGTGCTCTTGTTGTTGCTTCATGTATGACTTTCTCTCTCTCTCTCCCTCTCTCCCCCTCTCTCTCCCTCACTTTCTCCCTCCTTTCCTCTCTTCCTCTCTCCCCCTTTCCCCCCTCACTTTCTTCCTCCTTTCCTCTCTTCCTCTCTCTCCTCTCTTCTTCTCTTTCTCTCTCCTTCTCCCTCCCTTCCTGTTTTCTCCAGGTAAAGTTCTTTTGCCATACAACTTTACCACATAACTTTACCACTTAAAGTTCACAATTTAGTCATTTTTAGTTCATTGAAAATGAATTTGATATACCATCAAAATTAGGCAACCATCACTAGATTCTAGAATAGTTTCATCACCTCAAAAAAGAAACCCTGGGGTGGGAGAGTTAGTACAGGAGATAAAGCATTTGCTTGCATGCAGTTACTTATGTTAACCTTGGTTGGATCCCCAGCACTGCCTGTTTTACCCTGAGTTCTGCCAGGAGTCACTCCTGAGCACGTAGCCAGAACTAGATGTTGAGTACCTCCCAATGTGGCCTAACAGCTCCACCAATTCAAAGCATAAAGAAAAACAGGCCTTATTCCCTTTAGCTGTCACCTAATTCCTGCATTGCCCTCAGTCCTTAGCAACTGGTACTCTACTTACTATAAATTCGCCTATTCTGGACAGTTCAAATAAGTTGAATTACATAATATGCTTCTTTGTGACCTGTTTCTTAGTAGGTTACTGGTTAATTATAAAATAATAATACAATTTAGAAACAGCGAGATTAAAGAGAAGCAAAGGACCAGGTATTCATGAAAGGTCACAGAACTAGAGCATGCCATTGTCCATGTGTCTGTTTTCCCCAAACCAGAATCTCTCTTTATCTAATAGATAGAGTTCATGCTATACATTTCTCTGTAAGCACTGTTTTAGCTGCATCCTGCATATCTTGATTCAAACACTTATTTATCCTTTATTTTGGTCTTTCAAATTTATCTTGAGACTCCTTTGATCCAAGTCTTAATTTGGTTTTCTGTTTTTGGAGGGATGGCATGGGGTTGGAGGGTTGGGGGTTCGAACCTGGCTGTGCTCAGGGCTTATTCCCAGCAGTGCTTGAGGGATCATATGTGGTGCTGGGGATTGAACTGGGTCAGCTGAATGCAAGGCAAGCACTTTACCTGTTGTACTGTCTCTCTGGCCCCCAAGTATTAATTTGAAGTGAATTGTAGCGATAGCACAGCAGTAGGGCGTTTGCCTTGCGCACAGCCAACATGGCCGACCCGAGTTCAATTCCTCCGCCCCTCTCGGAAAACCCGGCCAGCTACCGAGAGTATCTCGCCCGCATGGTAGAGCCTGGCAAGCTACCCATGATGTATTCGATATACCAAACACAATAACAGCAAAGTCTCCAATGGAGACATTACTGGGCCCACTCGAGCAAATCCATGAACAACGGGAGGACCGTGACCGTGACCATGTTTAATCTCTAAATATTGGGGGATGGGGGGCGCCAGGGAGGACACCAGTCCTGACAGTGCCCAGGGCTTATTCCTGGCTTGTCTGTGCTCAAGAATCGCTCCTGGATAGACTCAAGGGATGATATGGGTTGCCTGGGAATAAATCTGGGTCAGTTGCATGCAAGGCAAGCACCTTAGCTGCTGATCCCCAGGATTTTTTTAAATAGGATTTTCTAACAGTCTTTTTGTTTTGTTTTAGTTTTTTGTTTTAGAGTCACACACAGCAGTGCTCAGGGCTTACTCTTGACTTTGGGCTCACAGATCACTCCTGGCAGACTTCGGGCACCATATGCGGTGCTGGGGATGGAACATGGGTTGGCTGCATGGAAGGCAAATGTCCTACCTGCTGTACTATCACTCTGCCCCCTCCAGCAGCCTTAGTCTCATTGGTTAATTCAATTCCATTGTGATCTGAGAACGAACTTTGTAAAAGTTTGTTTTTTAAATTAGTTGGTATATTTGATGATCCAAATTATGATCAGTCTCTGTTTCATGTCAGCTTGAGAAGAGTGGTTGTTGGAAAAAGTATTCAATACCTGTCCAGTTAAATTCAGTGGATTGGTGGTGCTGTTCAGTTTATGTATATGACTCTCTACTTGCTGATCTTTCAGTACTGACAGCTCGTTTTGGATTGTCCAACTATAAGGAAGAGTCATTGATTTCTTCTTGTATTCTACCAGTTTTTGTCACATATTTGGACTCTCTTGTTAGATGCTTACATATTAAATTCTTTTTTTTTTTTTTTTTTGCTAAAGCTAATGATGCGATAGCACAGCGGGTAAGGCGTTTGCCTTGCACACGGCCAACCCGGTTGGCCCAGGTTGATTCCTCCGCCCGTCTTAGAGAACTGGGCAAGCTACCGAGAGTATTTCTCCTGTAGGGCAAAGCCTGACAAGCTACCTTGAAGTATTTGATATGCCAAACACAGTAACAAGTCTCACAGTGGACTGGGCCTGCTCCGAGCAAATCTATGAACAAGGGGAGGACAGTGCTACAGTGTTACGATGATGCTATGGTCTACTTGCAGCTCTGTCTGTGCTCAGAGGTCACTCCTGGCAAAATAGTTGAGGGAGCAGGGACCAAACAGTGCTGGGAATTAAATCTATGGTTCCTGCATTCAAGGCATGCACTCCAGCTCCTGGTTCCAGGACTTTTGAGGGGGGAGAGATGGGGGGTGCCAGGGAGGACACCAGTCCTGACAGTGCCCAGGGCTTATTCCTGGCTTGTCTGTGCTCAAGAATCGCTCCTGGATAGGCTCAAGGGATGATATGGGTTGCCTGGGAATAAATCTGGGTCAGTTGCATGCAAGGCAAGCACCTTAGCTGCTGATCCCCAGGATTTTTTTTAATAGGGAATTTGGGGAGCCCAGAGTCTCTCCTTGCAGTACAAGTCTGGTTCAGGTTTGGTACTCAGGCCAGTGGTGCTTGAGGGCACCAGGGTTTTACCCTAAAGTGCTCAGGGGCCACGGGGTGTCTGGTATTGAGCACTCATACATACAAGGCAAATGTGACTCATTTGAGCTGTCTCCCTGGTCCCCGGGGAGTCTTCTTGGAGAAATTGCTCCTTTTCCATTATATTCTTTATACATCAATTATAAGGAATAAGAAAAAAAAAGATAAGACTCAAATTCTTTAAGAAAGGCCTGTGTGGGGATATGGGTCAGTGGTAGAGAGTTGCCTTGCATTGAGTGAGAAGGTCTTGTGTTTGATTCCTTAAATACTCTTCAGGGAAAAGCAAAGTTCACTCTGAACAAGAACTAAGTGCTGAAAATAGGTAAAAGAATATACATGATAACCTTTCAGTACCTGCATTGCCAACTATAATGCCAAAAGGGAAGAGAGAAAGAGAAGAAAAGTGCCTGCCATTGAGGCAGGTTGGGGTGAGAGGTAGGAGGGAAACTAGGGACATGACACTGGTGGTGAGAAATGTACCCCGATGACAGGACAAGTGTTGAAACATTATACATCTGAAACCCAATAATAAGCAACTTGGGACAGTGTTGAAACATTATACAACTGAAACCTAATAATAAGCAACTTTGTGACTGCATCATATGGTGATTCTACTTTTAACAAATTTAAAAGATAAATTAAAATTTTTAAAAAGTAAAAGCAAAGTAACAAATTCTGTTTTGGTATTTCAAGTTTCAAAAATGAAAATCAGATCTGAGAAAATACTAGTTGTAATTGTTTCTTTTCTTTTTTCTCAGTGTTGCATCAGAGCCAAGAAAACTTTATGAAATGCCAAAATGTTCCAGTTCAGAAAAAATAGAGGATGCTTTATTATGGGAATGTCCAGTGGTAAGATTTGTTTTAGAGTATTTGTTTCTAAAGCATTTTTTTTAATCTATAAGAACTATTGTTCATATATTTATTAAGTAGTAGAACTTAAGTATCACAGTATTTCCTAGATCTTGAAAGGAATAAAGAACATATTTATTCAGGGCAATAGTTATGTTACATAGATCCCTAAAAATGCATTCTTTAGAGTTTTCTCTGTGAACTGTATTAGGAAAATAATAAGATTTTTTAAAAAAAAATTGGAAAAACTTTTCATCAGACTACCATTGACCCAACATATTTTTTCACAGGCAAAAAAGAAGAAGTACGGTTTTTAATACATATTAACATCTTTTAGTTCCTAAAGGAGAGTTGGGTTGTAGTCAATTTTAAGATACCTGCATTCAAAAGATTGCACAAGTTCTCTACAGTATTATCACAGAGTCTTTAAAATTAGTAATGCCTTTAATAATATTGCTCTCCATGGTAATTTGTAGGATAACATTGGTTTGTCATTTCTCCCTGGCTGCAGCTAGCTTAGGTTAATTGGGGTACACCATTCACAGTGCTCCCAAAGCACTCCCATTTCCTCAGTATTCATCTTTAACTTCTCAGTGCTCTGCTTTCTTTATGTGTTAATTGCTCATTTTCCCTAATTCACTCATTTTACCTGTGACTCGTAAAGTCAAATTCTTCAGAAATCTCTGATTTTGTATTTATAAGTGAAATATTGCTTTTCTCCTTCCCATATGTCCTTTTGAGTTTACTTCAGAGCAATGTCCTTTTTGTATAGACACAGAAAGAGAGTTAATGCTTAACTGTTAACTCTTGTAACTTGGGAGTTAATTGACTCTGAATAATGTTCACTCCTGGGCATTTGTTTTCTTGACTTAAGCCTCAGTTGCCCTTAGTTCCTATCACCCCAAAAGCAGGGTCCCGAGGAGGGACTGGATGGACCCAGGGCAAGCTGTAAGCTACCCTGGCATCGAAACAGGCCAGGCCAGCCACCATAATTAGCACTGCACTGCCTTCCCATTGTTTATCGATTTGCTCGAATGGGCACCAGAAATGTCTCATAACAAATTGTGAGACTTGTTGTTACTGTTTTTGGTATATCGAATATGTCACAGGGAACTTGCCAGGCCTTGCTGTGCAAGCGAGATACTCTCCCTAGCTTGCCGGGCTCTCCGAGAGGAGTGGAGGAATCGAACCCAGGTCGGCCATGTGCAAGGCAAATGCCTTACCCGCTGTGCTCTCGCTCCAGCCCAAGCGCCATAATACTTAACTATAAGGTAAGAGCACCATCATAGGCAAATTCTATCATGATCCAAAGAATAACAACTGGATTAGAACTCTGCTAGGGTTAGGAAAGACTAATCTGGCCTGAGCACTGTAGTCTGGAATCTATAGTGAGATGTCCCCAGGAGGGCCACCCTACCAGCTTAATATATCTCTTACGGGCTGGAGCGATAGCACAGCGGTAAGGCAGTTGCCTTACAAGCAGCCAACATGGCCGACCTGAGTTCGATTCCTCTGCCCCTCCCAAAGAGCCCAGCAAGCTACCAAGAGTATCTCGCCCGCACGGCAGAGCCTGGCAACCTACCCATGATGTATTCGATATGCCAAACACAGTAACAACAAGTCTCACGATGGAGACGTTACTGGGCCCGCTCGAGCAAATTGATGAACAGCAGGAGGACCGTGGACCGTGGAGCCATACAAAATGACTAGAAAGATAATTCAGAAGTAAGTAAATCTAAGGAAAGGAGAAACACACCTCTAGGTGGTATTTGGTCCTTGAGCAGACCTCCTGGTGGCAGGAGATCTTTGTCTTATCCTAGAAGAGCTTCCCTCGGAAGGAAGTGCTTTCATCTGTTGATTGTGTTACCTGACCTAGTGAAGTTGCTACCCCCAATGCTTAGAGGTTGGGCTCTAGACTGAGACTGTGAGACCAGCGTGCTGAGACTAGCATAGGTGACCAGGGAGACAGAAATGAGGGGCAGCGTGAGACTGAAATGGGGCGCTTAGTTAGACAGGCGTGTGGGGAGAATGGAATAGACAGCAGCTGATCACCAACCAGCCTGGCGGTCGTGTTCTCTCCGTGCGTCTGCTGGCCTGGGGTGGGGAAGTGGCTCATGGTCACCTAACACATGTGGTGGGAGAGAGAGCCCACGCCACCCTCACTCATTTATTTGGTGATTACACAGTAATTGTCAAAGCATTTTCCCAAATTCTTTTGATTGTAGAACTTCTTTTTTAGGGGGTTTCTTTTGTCTTCCCCCCTCCCTCTTAATTGCTGTTGTCGTTGTCACACAAAGTGTGTGCCAGAGCTCACACACACTCTCTTGCTGTGCTTGAGAGGATGGGGAGAGAGGTTTGTCACAGTCTTGGTTGTGGTACTCGCACAACTGGTGCTCACAGTTGGTTGCAGTGCACAAGAGGCACAAGCTTGTGGTGGTGCCTGGTATCAAAGTGTCAAAGGGATCCAACTTGAGGCCTCACACATGCACGGGCAAAACTGTGCCTCCAGGAGTGCCACATTCCTGGGCTGCCTCTTAAGAACTTTATTTTTTTTAATTGATTAACTGAACTCAAAATCCTGAGTTTGATTTCTGGACCCCAGAACCACAAGGAGTAACCTGGGTGGGGGCCCTAACACTGCCAGATGTGGTCCTCATATCTTATCTTTTAATCATTATTTTGGGGAGCACACGAAGAGTTTTATTTTTTCCTGAGGGGTAACCAGCAAGGTTCAAAGACTTGATTAATTTGTTGAAATCTATCCTAAGTATATTTTTAGAACATTAATTCTATGGGAAAATGATACTCAAAAATAAAGCTCTAAGGACTAAGAATGTGGCTCACATGGTAATAGAGAGATAATGCAGGAGTTAAGGAACCTGTTTTGCATGCAACAGTGACCTCCACAACCTTGGTTCATATACTCAGCACTGGTGTGGTCCAGAACCCTAAAATAAAATAAAATAAAATAAAATATTAAAAAGGTAAATTAAAATTACAAAAGTGTTCATAAATTTTTAGGTATATATTCATTTAAGTACCTGGATGGAATATATAATATAATTTGTTTTAAAAATAAATTGCTTTGCTTATTATTTAAATGGTAAAAAGTTACATACAAAATAGTTATTCTTTAAATATATTATTAAATATTTTAAAATAAAACTTATCTTTACCTTAGAGTTTTCTAAAGCTGTTTATCTCTTTTCCAGATTGTCCGAGAGCTTTACATTGTTTTCCCAAAATTTGTTATTTAAAACAAAAAATATTTGTTGTGCCCTTAACATCTATCAGCTATTTTCTTTGGTTAGAGGGAGGAGGATAACAGATTTCTTAACTAAGGAAAGTTTTGAAGATACCAAAAACTTAGAGAAATTCTACATAAGTAATGTTTCTAATAATCTTAATTCCTATTCTCATTCTCTTTAAATGTTTTGTTCTTGAAGTAAACCAAGGTTTTTTTAATAAGAAAAACTAAGAAGTGTATTAACATACTGATGTGAAATTTCATTCATATTAGTACCCTTCTTTTCTTAGATTATATGTGAAGTACAATATTCAGATTAGGAAAATAGCTCAAACCTCTAATATGCTAATTTTCTAATAGGCAAGATATAAGTAGTTCCTTTTTTTGAACTTCAAATTTTTTTGAAATTTATACTTTATATGGCCTTCATTTGCATCTCTGCCTGTGAATTTAGTATACAACTTCCACAGGTTTTTAAAAACACACATACACAAAAAACACAAAACAACTTCTATCTCCCCCACAGATGTTTTTTCTTTCCCTAACATTTGAAAGTTGAGATAACCCTTTTGGTGTATACATAAAATAGGTATTCCTTCATTCTTTTCTCTTGATCAACAGCCCGAGAAAAAATACTATAGCAATTTCACCTTCTCTATTAATTTTCCTCTTAGAACTTCCTTTTTTCCTCACAAATCAAAGTAGAACACTTAGTTTCTCATTCTCTTCCTGCCTAAGAGTCCCACCTTGTGGCAACTTCTTAATAGTTGGTGTACAGAAGCTAATCTATTTTCTCCCTTAGGGAAAAAAATTTATCAGTGACTGGTACCATCTTCTATTGATGTTTTGTTTCTGGATTTTGGCGTTTCACTGGAGGTTGGAAAAGAACCACGGTGAATAGTAGGATTCATTTGCACTTTTGCCGTTTTGACTTCTCTCGAAAGGAAAACAAATCATAAGGAAATGTCTGTTCCACCTCATGACTCTGAATTACTAAGCTATTATGCCTGGTTTGAGAACTGTTAGTTGTTATCCCAGCAGTATCATTAGTATTAAATTGCTTTTGTTATGATTATTTGCTAAAAATTTATTGAAATCTTATTGGTAAATGATTCAAGTAGTATTTAAATGATTTATATAGCTAGATTCAATACATTTATGATGAAAATAATTGCCTACACTTTTCTAAATCTTGTTCTTATTTCTTTATTTGCACATTTCATTTCTTCTTTGCTTGATTTATTTGATTATGTTATTCATGTTTGCTTCCTTTGGACATTGATTTATGGAAAAGCAGTTTAATTTTCACATGTCAATTTTTTAGGGGGATATGCTGCCTAATCCATCAGATTATAAATCCTCACTCATAGCACTGACTGCCCACAATTGGCTGCTTCGTATATCAACAACCACTGGAAAAGTCCTTGAAAAAATATATCTTGCTTCATATTGCAAATTCAGGTATTAACTGTGATTTTATTATTCAAGATTTTGTTAAAGAAATCAAGCTGTTTTTTAAAGCTTCCCAATATATTCCTGAATCTCAATTTATAAAACTATTTTTGTTTTCTCCCCTCAGGATTATATTTGAAAATAGAGACCTTTTATAATGTTCCTTATATCCCTCATAAGTAACATATGGTAGGTAGTAAATAAACTTAAAAATAATTTTCAATGTTTCCCTTCTACCAATATTTTATATGTAGGAGATACATAAGGGTAGATTTTCCTGCAGACTAATATATTTCAGTTAGATAATCTATCTCATACAAGCTAAGAATTGTTATTTTTACTGTTAATTTTATAAATTAGAAATAGAATTTTCGAGTCAGTATGTACATACAAAATATGAAAATCACATTTAAAATACTTTGTATAACTTCCATGGAGAGCAGGAATAGTTGTTGGGCATTTTAAGCTTTAAATACATTAGTTGAAATAATTTTTAATCATCAAAATCCTAGAATGTGGGGCTAGAGTAATGGTACAGTGGGTAGGGCACTAGCCTTGCACACAGCCAACCTGAATTTGATCCCTAACAGCCCATAGCCCACTAGGCTTGATCCCAGAGCACAGAGTCAAAGGTAAACCCTGAGCACTGCCAGCTATGGCCCAAAAACAAAAATATTAAAATTACAAAAGTGTTCATTAATTTTTAGGTATATGTTCATTTAAGTACCTGGATGGAATACATAATATAATTTGCTTTAAAAATAAATTGCTTTGCTTATTATTTAAATGGTAAAAAGTTACATACAAAATAGTTATTCTTTTAATTTTAAATTTTAAAAAATGACCCTAATGAATAAACTTCTTTTTATTCTTTGAAAAGGTACTTGAGCTGGGATACTCCTCAAGAAGTTGTTGCAGTCAAATCAGCGCAGAACAAAAACTCAACTCTGGCCCGACAGGTGATGCCTTTAAACATCAGTAGTATGTGTCAGGGAGATAGTTCAAAGGACTGAAATGCATGTTTTGCATGTAGGAGCCCCAGAGTTGATCCCGAACATCATGAGCATTGCTTCAGTAGTTATTCTCATGAGCATTGTTTCAGGAGTTATTCTCAAGCATCATCAGGTGTGACCCAGAATTTTAAAAATTTGTCTTTATAGGAATTTGTTAACATGTCATGAAATAGCTTATAGGCATTTCTTTTCTGAAACATGCTATAAAGATTGTTTACCACAAATTTAAGAAAATCTTAAGTCACTCTAGGTTAGTAAAATAAACGATTATTTAAAATTCCAAAAATAAAAGAAATGGAAAGGTCATCCTTTACTTGTTCTTCATAGTAAGAAGGCTATCATTTTCAAGCAGAAAAATCACCTCCCAAATTTTGTGTACATGTTTTTTTCTCATTTTGTCTATATAGCACTACTTCCAAATGATAAGACCTTGATAACTCTGTGTTCTTTTGTTTGGTAGTTTAGTTTTAGCATTCCAAATTGAAATTAAATTCTGATAGGATATAGTAAACTTTAGTATTAATTAAATTCTGATAGGATATAGTAAACTTTAGTATATATATTTTCCTGCATTATATATAAACTGTATAGTACATAAATTACTTTTGTTGCTAAAATGTTTACATATAAAGATTTTTACAAATATGTATATGTCTGTCTGTTTTTTGTTTATGGTATTTTGAGGTTTTAAGTTTTGGGGCCATACCCAGTGATGCTCAGGGCTGGCAGTGCTCAGGGGACCATATGGATGCCAGAGATTGAACCTGTAAGGCAAACACCCTACCTGCTGTACTATCACTCTGACCCCTGGCTTTATTTATTTTTGGATTTTGGGTTCTGCCCAGTAATACTCAGGGCTTTCTCCTGACTCTCTGTTTAGGGATCACTCCTAGCAGAGCTTGGGGAACTCTGTGTGGTCCTAGGGATCAAGCCCAGGTCATCTGTGTCACCTTACCCTCTGTACTATAAGATTATTTATTGGTTTAGGAAACTAAAGAATGATTATTGGTTTAGGAAACATGTGTATATTTTTTTAAATATGGGCATTGTACCCTGTGGTTCACAAGAGCCTTCAGGACCCTGTAGAATCAGGAATCAAACTCTGCTTTGCACATGCTAGATGTATTTTCTACCATTTGAGCTATCTCCCCATCCCCGGGCATATTTTGACTATGTATGCCCTGTGTAACTAAGAATGATTATTGGTTTAGGAAACATGTGTATATTTTTTTAAATATGGGCATTGTACCCTGTGGTTCACAAGAGCCTTCAGGACCCTGTAGAATCAGGAATCAAACTCTGCTTTGCACATGCTAGATGTATTTTCTACCATTTGAGCTATCTCCCCATCCCCGGGCATATTTTGACTATGTATGCCCTGTGTAACTTTGTGGAGTCAGTGGATGGTTTTTTTTCAGGGCCAGTACCTGTGGTGCTGGGGGGCTTGAGCAATAGCACAGTAGTAGGGCATTTGCCTTACAAGCGGCCAGCGTGGCCGACCGAGTTCGATTCCTCCGCCCCTCTCGGAGAGCCCGGCAAGCTACCGAGAGTATCTCACCCGCACGGCAGAGCCTGGCAAGCTACCCACGACGTATTCAAGATGCCAAAATACAGTAACAACAAGTCTCACGATGGAGACGGTACTGGGCCCACTCGAGCAAATCGATGAACAACGGGAGGACCGTGACCGTGACCTGTGGTGCTGGCATTCAGACCCAGGGCTCCTGCTTGTCAAATGTGCTCTCTATCCTTCTGAGCTGTCTCCCAACCCATGAATAGGTGTTTTCATGAAATGAAACATTTTACATAGGATAATTACAGTTTGCTGGGAACTTTACTAGATCATGACTTCTTATTTCATTCTATATTTACATTTCCTGGAAACATATGTATAACTGCATGCCAGAATAAATGGATATTTTCAACTCATGAAAACTGAATGTTTCTGAAATACTCATGAGAGCGGACTCTAATTTTTGTTTTTCCCTTCAGGCAGGAATTCAGCAGCCGGTTTTGCTGTACCTTGCAGTGTTTCGTGTTCTTCCTTTTTCACTCATAGGGATTCTGGAGATCAACAAAAAAGTAAGAACTCATTTCAGATTCAATTGCAATATTAATTTTTTACAGTAAGTTATGATGTCATCATTTAATTATATTCTTATTAGACATCTTGATTAGAAGTGTTCCCTTGACCGAAAAACTTGCTGACCTAGTTTATTTTATATCAAAATACACGCGAACATTTGATGTGAGGAGAGAGCTTAATATCCCTTCATCTTTTTGCATGTTTTTATGACTCTCACTTGGTTAGTGTTGAATACTGCGATCATTAACAAGCCTCTATAAAGTTACATTTTTTCAGGTCCAGAGCTTATTAAAATTATTATTAAAAAAAGGTAAAAGACTGAAACAAAATGCCTCATTTTAGATGCAAAGTATAGATCTAAAACTTGCTTTAGTATATATACATACATATATACCTCAAATTAGTATATAAATTTTCCAATTGTTGCAGTTTTGGATAGTATTGTTTGTTGCCTTCTTGACTTGTGGAGTTGTTACATAAAGGGAAAGAAAAGAGATTTCTATTTGAATGAAAGAATAGTCTCTTTCTTTTAAAAATGTATTTGTTCTACTTAAATGGTTCATTCTTTGGCAATTCTACTAGTCCTTAAGTGTCTGATATATTACAGAGGACAGCTCTTAACAATTCAATAATATTCATTAGCAAAATATTTAATTTTTTTAGTTTTACAATTTTAATGGGGCTAGAGTGATAGCACAGCGGATAGGGCGTTTGCCTTGCACGTAGCCGACCCAGGTTCTATTCCTCCACCCCTCTTGGAGAGCCGGCAAGCTACTGAGAGTATCCCGCCCTCACGGCAGAGCCTGGCAAGCTACCTGTGACGTATTTGATATGCCAAAAACAGTAACAAGTCTCACAATGGAGATGTTACTGGTGCCCGCTCGAGAAAATCGATGAACAGCGGGAGGACAGAACAGTGCTACAATTTTAATATGATAAATTGAATAAGGACTAAAGAATAATATTAAGTATTTAGTAATTATTTTGTGCTAGGTCATGATAGGATCCAATAAAATTTGAATATTTTGCGACATTGTAATATTAAATATTTAAACAGTCAAGCAAAATTCTGAAGGTATAGTCAATGGAAGAGATGGAATTTAAACATAGATTTGACACCAAAGTACAAACTAAAATTTAAAATAGTTGCAACTTTACCATAGCAACTCATTATTTGAATCTGTTTTGTTTCTGAATAAGGTCTGTGACTGAAGATAAGTGAATAAATAATTATGCACTAATCAGATCAGAACAAACTAAATTCTTCTAAGAGAAAACAAAAAGCACAATTCATGAATTTAACTCAGGAATTCTTTTTGCTTGTAGATTGAGTAATTGTGAGTGCTTGTTGCAGTCTACAGTAGGACTCCACACTTAGCAAAGTGTGCTTCTCCTTACTCTTTTTGGAGAATAAGACATCCCCAACAGTGCTTAGGGGGCCCGCGATCACTCCCACTGAGCCCGAAGACCCAATGCTTGGGCATTGTGTTATGGACCTGCTCCGGCCCAGCAGTGCTGGAGGCCACCACGGCCACTCCTGACATGCTGGTAGGGAGACATGTGGTGCCAAGGATTGAGATTAGGGTCTAGAGCATGAAAGAATTTGCTCCAGCTCTTTGAGCTCTGTAACTCAGCCTCTCTTTACTCTCAGATGTCCTGGCTGGATAGTCACTTGAGGGATTTGGCTTTGATTGCAGTTACTTGAAATATATCTTTCACATGTCATGCATAAGAGTTTTATATTCTGGCACCAGGCTATGAAAATACCTTTCACTATGTATGAAATTATTAATCTACACTACACTGTGTCTTGACTGAAAATAGAAATTTTTTTTTTCTTTTTGGGTCACACCCGGCAATGCTCAGGGGTTTGCCTGGCTCTGCACTCAGGAATCACTCCTGGCGATGCTCAGGGGACCACATGGGATGCTGGGATTCGAACCCGGGTCAGCCGCATGCAAGGCAAATGCCCTACCCACTGTGCTATCGCTCCAGCCCCGAAAATAGAAACTTTTTCACTTAATTTCTTGTTGATTTTTCCTTGTTAGAGTTTTTGTCTGTGTTGACTGTAGTTAAATATTTAGACGCAGAACCAACAAGTCAGAGTGCTATGGAGAATCATGATAGGATCCAATATGTCGGATAGCAATAGAAGGGAACAGTGAATCAGTCTCATTCAGGCTTATTTAGGCTCAAGAACTTCATAAGAATTTTGTCTTTAATTCGGGGGGGGTTATATAACTAAAGAAAATTAATATAGTATTAGAGATTTAAATAAGAAGGTAATGATGAAATTCCAGGATTGGCTGTTTCTCATTCGAATTGCTTTATTAGACCCAATCCTTCCCACTTCTAATTAGCACTGTAGCACTGTCCTCTCATTGTTCATCTATTTGCTCCAGTGGGTACCAGTAACATCTCCATTGTGAGACTTGTTACTATTTTTGGCATATCGAATATGCCATGGGGAGCTTGCCAGGCTCTGCCGTGCCCACTTCTAATTAGAAAAAAAAATATATATATATATAAAATAATATTGTGCCATAAATAATTGGGCATTGGAAGGATCAGTTGATCACTTGACATCCCATTACTCATCAATTTGCTCTAACGGGTGCCAGTAACATCTCCATTCATCCCTCTCGCGTGCTAGTGTAGCCCAGTGGCGTCTGCTTGTTCTAGGAACATGAAGAGCCTCAAACCGATCGTTCAGGGTCTTGATGAAAAAGTCTGACCATCTCGTAGGTGGGCGGCCATGCGATGTTTTGACATCCCGTGGAATCCAGTCGGTAACGGCTCTAGTCCAGCGGAAGGATATGCATAGTAAAATAAATGTTCACTTAGAAGTAAATGGCTTCAGTTGATGCCTATGTCTTTGAGGAATCAAGGTTGTTATTAAAATGTATTGATAATACTATGAAGTAAATGGATGGAGCAGATAATTCCTGCTGCATTATTTTGCAGGGCATGTGCTACAATCCCATTGGTGCTGTACTCTGAAGGTCTACTGGCTTAGCTCTCACCCCTAATAGCACTTCAGCTTCAAATTTCTAGATTATAATACTATGTAGCAGGGTGGCTGGGATAGTGAGGAAATACATGAACAGCTGTGAGCACTCGGAGGATTGACCCTCAGATCCTTACTTCAGTGACATCTACCTTTTCCCTCAGATTTTTGGGAATGTGACAGATGCTTCCTTGTCTCATGGAATACTGATCGTGATGTACAGCTCGGGACTGGTCAGACTCTATAGCTTCCAAGTCATCATGGAACAGGTAAAAAGAAAAAAATGGATCTTTCTCTCGATTTCAATTGACAGTTGAACAGAGTTATGTTTTTTAATGAAATTATTTCTCAATAAGGAGTTTGTGTCGATTTCAACTCTGTAAAACTGTACAAATGCAGAAAGACTGTCACCTTTAATAGGTGGAAAGATAAGCAGAGAGGCCTTTGAATAAAGATATTGTCTCTGTCATATACATGTGAATTTGATTTTTTTTATCTCCCAATAGCAAATAAGTAGGTGCTAAAGCCACCATTTTTGTTCTGTTTTGTTTTGTTTTTAGTTCATGCAACAGAAACTTGACTTAGGGTGTGCATGCGGATGGGGTGGGACTACTGGAACTGTAGGAGAGGCTCCTTTTGGCATTCCTTGTAATATTAAAATCACAGGTATGGTTCCTATATAGTATTTTTTTTTCACCTTAAATAATTGATTATGCAGTTTTTCATTGTAATTGCCAGAATGTTTTTTTTCGAATTTAAAAATGCAATTCATTTTCAATCCTATATAGTATATTCCTTGCTATTGAATAGCTAGAAAAAAATCCATCAGTAATTCATTGAATAACTAGGCATGCTGGAACTGCTGCTTAGCTAGAGATCAGTGATCTTTGACAAATCACTTTAGCTCTCTCATCTTGATTTCCTTCTTTGTAGAATGATGAATTACAGCAAATAATTTTATCTTAGTTCTCTTTTAACTTTAGTAATTTATAATTTGGTGAAATACATCCACCTTCATGAAAGGTGATTTGAGGGCTGGGAATTCAGCTTAGTAGTAAAACACGTGTTTGGTGGGTAGGTGGGTGGTTTGTTCTCCCCCACCCCTCCCCTCTCCCCAGAGATGGAGGCAAGGCACACTCAGTGGTGCTCATTGTTTACTCTGCACTCAGGGACCATTCCTGACTGACTTGGAGGACCATATGGAATACCAGGGATCGAACCCAGGTCAGCCATCATCCATATACAAGCAAGCCCCCTACCTACTGTACTCTATCCCTATCCTACCCTAAAACACATTTCTTTGCGTATGAGGCCCTGAGTTTAAGCTCCAGAAGTCCCCTCAAAAGAAAAAAATTATATATTGTCATCTGAACATAGATAGTTCTTATACAGAGAGAACTTGCCACTATACTTAAAGATTGACAAAACACATAAAAAAACTTATACATAATTCTGTATACATATAATAGAAGTGTTCTGTGCATAAGACTTAGGTTTGATCTCCACCATTGCCAAAGAACAACATTTGTTTATCAAATTCAGTTTACTAACGAATCAATTACTACTCAAATTCAACAGTGTGTATTAAAAGAAAACAATTCAAAACAGAAAACAGCAATTAAAAAGAAACGGACCAGAGAGATAGTACAGCAAGTAAGGCACTTGCCTTGCACGTGACCAACCTGGGTTTGATTCTTGGTACATCCCAAGATTCTTGGCACATCTGAGCACTACCAGGACTGATTCCTGAGAGCAGAGCCAGGAGTAGTGATGCAGAGCATCATCAGATGTGACCCAAAAACCAAAAATGAAAAAAATCAATAAGACAAAATTAGAGTTCAGGAATGCAAGGATATTTTAATGTTTGCAAGCATATTTTTAAAACTACATGAATAAAATTTTATGGGAAATATATTTTATTATCCTATATCTGTTTTTTTTATTCTCACTTCACTGAGATTAATTCCTAATAATCCTTGCAGACATGTCCTTTGCTTTTTAAACAATAAACTGTTTTCTATTGAAACTTCAAAGTTTTTTCTCATATAGGTAGAATAAAATGAGACTTTTCTGTTGTTATTATTTAATTTTCTATCAACAGATTGAGAAATATAAATATATTTTAATTATTTTAAGAAATCTTCTCGGGGCTGGAGCAATAGCACAGCGGGTAGGGCGTTTGCCTTGCACCCAGCCGACCTGGGTTTGATTCTTGGCATCTCATATGGTTCCCTGAGCACCGCCAGGAGTAATTCCTGAGTGCATGAGCCAGGAGTAACCCCTGTGGATCTCCAGGTTTGACCCAAAAAGAAAAAAAAAAAATCTTCTGCAACCTGGGAGATAGCCCAGGGATTAAAGCACATGCTGTGCAAGTAAGAGCCTGGGGTTCAATCCCTTAGTACTCTGTGTTCTCCCAAGTACTGCCAGAACTGACCATAAACACCAAGTCAAGAGTAGCTCCCCAAGCCAAGTCCCACCACGTGTGGCCCAAAACAAACAAAAAAGTAAACATTGAAACCTTTGAAAAGTTTAAATTCACTTAGTTTTGTTAATTTATATTCAAATATAAATTTTAATTTCAAAATTTTTAATTCAGATTCCACTTGAGCAATTCCACTTCTATCAATTTATCCCAGATTTTTATTCCCCGGTGTACAAAGTAATGGTCCAGTTAGAATATTGTTTTCAGAAAAAGACTGGACAAGCAATTTGTACAGTGATAAGTAAAATACTGATATATTTCATTGATTACCATAAATTTAGTTATTCAAAAGAAAGACACTGTCTGGTTGATATATATATAAACTAGATGCATACATAAGGTAAAGGCCCTCCCATTTTTCGTCAATTTTGCTCGAGCGGGCCTAGTAACGTCTCCATTGGAGACTGTTGTTACTGTGTTTGGCATATCGAATACTCTCGGTAGCTTGCCGGGCTCTCCGAGAGGGGCGGAGGAATCGAACTCGGGTTGGCCATGCTGGCTGCTTGTAAGGCGAACGCCCTACCGCTGTGCTATCGCTCCAGCCATTCATATATATATTATATATATATCTATGAAGACAACTACCACTGAACTTTATTTCTGGCCCTTCTGATGCTTTTTTTTTCTATGTGGTATTTGGGTATTATATTTTGCCAAATAATAGTTTTATTTGTATGTATATGCATGCAGGGTTCCTTACACATTACACAAACTTTATTTTTATTCTGCTTTATAGGTGAACTATTAAGTTTTAACCAATTTACGTTGGACATTAAAGTTGTTTTTAGTGTATGTGCTGCCGAAGTGAGCACCATTAAAGTTGTTTTTAATTTTCTGTGGTTATAATAGCATAAAAATGGTTCTGTAACCATTCATAAACTTTTTCTTACTAAGTAATGTCATAGTACATTGCAAATGGAAGTCTCAAAATTTTGTCATTCCTTTTACCTTTTTTAATAACTGGACTTTTCCTGTAAAAACATTCATTAGGTCATTTTTCATTTTATCATTTGTGTGAAAAGATTGAAGACATAATTATTATTTTCATACTACACATTGTGTAAGACCTTGTTGGTCTCAAGGAAACTATGATCTTCATATTCCAGGTTTACACAGCTGTCGCTTAGTGCCCAGGAAGATCTGCCTCCCTCCAATCACATATTTAAAGTAACTGGAAGCAGGCAGAGGCTTTGTGGATTTAAAAGCATAGTTCTAGTCTTTAACAAAGAGTATCTAATAGAATGTTTTAGGCATTCGAAACAGCAATCATTAGAAAATAATTCAGAGCTGGAGTGATAGTACAGTGGGTAGGGCGTTTGTTTGCGCATGGCTGACCTTGGTTCAATCCCCGCCATCCCATATAATACCCCAAACACTGCCAGGAGTAATTCCTAAGTGCAGAGCCAGGAGTAACCCCTGAGCATCACTGTGTGACCCAAAAAGAAAAGAAAAAAAAAGGAAAATAATTCACCTGAAGCCGACCTCACGGGCTGGAGCGATAGCACAGCGGGTAGGGCGTTTGCCTTGCACGCAGCCAGCATGGCCGACCCGAGTTCGATTCCTCCACCCCTCTCTCAGAGCCCGACAAGCTACCGAGAGTATCTCGCCCGCACAGCAAAGCCTGGCAAGCTACCCGTGACGTGTTAGATATGCCAAACACAGTAACAAGTCTCACGATGGAGATGTTACTGGGCCCGCTCGAGCAAATCGAACAATAGGAGGACCGTGAGGTGACCACCCTCACACCAATTAAAATTGAATGCACTATTTTGCATTGTTGTTTTTCTCTTTTGAATTTCTATTTCATGTTCTCTATAGTATATCTTCTTGAAATTACTAATTCCATATTCAAACTCTAATTTATTTTCTGATAATAATTTCCTCTTCATCTACCAGCAATCTGTAGCCACCATATCACATATGCTGTTTGTATTGCTTCATAATTTACCTAGTGATGTTCTCGCCTACTTTTCTATGGGACGGTTTATATGTTTACTCCTTAAACTATACCTCTTTCATTATTAAGGCTATTAGGAGCCAGGGAGAGGCAGCTCAAAAGAAGCCCTGAGTTCAGTTCCTGACATCTTACATAACCTGCCCCCTCAACACACACAAACATCCCTCAGTAGTTCTTTTGGCAGCTATGTACGTAAAGTTCTATTGGGCTGGACCCTATAAAATAAAGAGCATTACCTTTTTCTTAATTAAAAAATGTATTTTGTATAAATTTGATAAGTTTATACCTATCCTTTCTCAAAGCTGTCAGTTTTTGAACATACTTTTCATTAGTCTTTTTCTGTACGTAGCTCCAAAAAGTAAGTTGTCCTTATGAAGAGGACTAGTAAAACACACACTTCCAAATATAGTATACGATGCGCAAGTGACTGAGCTCCCTTAAATAAGCCACTTTACATGTAGTGGTAACCTTAAAACCCACCAATTAGACTCTCAAATTTGGGGGCAGGGCGGTGCACAAACAAATGGGTCATATATTGGTCACTGTCCAGAGAGGTAAGGTAGTATGCCCCAAGGGCTTCCCAAAAGCAATTCTCGTCTTCTAAAACTGCAGTGCCTCCTACTGAGGCATCTCTCTGAGAATAAATCTGTCATGCGCCATCAGAAATTAGTATCAAAGAAGACTGAGAATCAGTACAATCAGATAGATTGGTTGATTGGTTGGTTCTCGGGGTTTGAGTTTTAAGGCCGAACACAGCTGTACTCCATGTTCAGAACTTAACTCCTGAAATCATTTATTATTATTCATTACTCTGGGATCATTCCGGGTGGTGCTCAGAGGACCATATGCAGTGCCAGCAATCAGAACCGGGTTGGCTGCATGTAAGACTAACTCTTTGAACCCTTGGTTTATTTCTCCTTACCCCAAATAAATATTTTTATTGTGTCAATCTCCAAAAGGCCACAAGTAACAGATATATCTAAGTTACCTTAAAATTTACTTGTTTTCACAATAAAACTAATACAAGTAGCTATCTTCAAAGGCAGGACTTATCCTGAGTGGATACATTCATGTGATTAGTATCACTTCTACCCTGGAAATCATAGGCAAGGCTGCCCTGTAAAGTTTGCTGACCTAAACTATGAACAATCTCTTTCTCACAATTGAAGAAATAATTAGATCTAATTACTCTATAGGATTCTGGGGAATTGGGACTATTTTCTAGGCCATAGTCCTCTACATTGCAGATTCTTTGTAAACGGTAGCTGCTTTAGATAGGTGTCACTGTCACTGTCACTCGTTGTTCATTGATTTTCTCGAACGGGCCCAGTAACATCTCCATTGTGAGACTTTGTTGTTACCGTGTTTGGCATATCGAATACGTCACGGGGAGCTTGCCAGGCTCTGCCGTGTGGGCGAGATACTCTCGGTAGCTTGCCGGGCTCTCCAAGAGGGGCGGAGGAATCGAACTTGGGTTGGCCATGTTGGCTGCATGTAAGGCAAACGCTCAACCCGCTGTGCTATTGCTTCAGCCCTAGGTATGTAAATTTTGTCAATATTTGCCATCATTTGCGTATTCAGCCCACTTTTTCTACTCTGTTTAACTGCATACCCTTAAGAAAGGTATCTAGAAAATTGATACATAGCCTACCATTTGTTTCCAACCAGCTCTCTCTCAGTAATAAGTCTCTTTTTGAATGTCTTTTATTTCCTTGAACATAATAATTTTTTACTGACGGAAAGTCATCAGATGATGCATGCAAAAAAAATATTGAATTTAGTTAATGAGTGTTCTAACACTAGTTAAACAAAGATGCTAATAAATCTCTTAACCATCTCTACAGATACGCCACCCCTCCTCTTTGAGGTGTCCTCCCTGGAGAACGCTTTTCAGATCGGAGGACACCCCTGGCACTATATCATCACGCCTAATAAGAAGAAACAGAAAGGAGTTTTTCATATCTGTGCCCTAAAAGACAATACCTTGGTAAATCATGAGTAACCAAACTTTATAGTACTCAATTTGTATCTTCTTTCTCTACTTCAATCCCATTCCTAAAAATTGTTTTTTTTTCTGTAGTAAAAATGTTGAAGAATGTAAAGGAGAATACAGAGAATATGGTATATGCTTAACTTGTATTATGCATAATTTAAAAATCCTTTATCTTTAAAATTCTTAGGGCACTACAAATATCTTGGTTGGTTGTTTTATTTGAATCCCAGTAAGGGATCCTGTGCAGAAAATCTCTGAAGCTCCATAGTGGGAGTCCCCAGTGAATATGTTAAGGCTACCTCTGAAGTTGATTGTGAAATATGTTATTGATTCAACTTCTCCTTGGTCTGTTGCTCTTGGCTTTCCAGAGCAGAACCAGAGAGAACTCTAATGGCCACACTGTAAGCAGTGAAACACTTTGGATTTTCAAGGATGTTCTTAGGTTATTTATGGCAAACTAGCAAGAAATGTTGCAGGGTAAGACAATAGAAGTTTCTGTGCCCCCAAATTGGCTTTTTTTTAATTATTTAAACATTGATTTAATATCTTATATTGAGGGCCTATCATATGTCAAACATGGCTGACGTTTATTCCCTTTCATCAAGTTCCTTTTGCCTTCAAAAGAAAGGGAACATATCAATGAGAGAGATGCAGTCTATTACTAAACCCATTATTTGGGAAAAAATTGCAAAAGAGTGCAGATGGAAGTGAGGTTACATCTTTCTTCTGTCTTGATGATTTTGTCTATTTCTGGACCCTCTTGATATACCTAATGAACTTCTTCTGAGACAGACTCCACTTATTCCACACCCGTCACTTCCAGAGTCTTGCCTGTCACTTTGGAACCCCCACAGGTCTCCTTTCATCACCTAGTTAGCTCGGTTCTGGGTCCACTTCTCTGTTTATCTTGATGTCATAGCAACCAGGAGAGACTGTGCACAGCATCTTTTGGTTTTATAGCAGCTTTGTCCCTTCCATTTTCTATGAGTGTGGCACCTCCTGTTTGATCCAGTGATAACCTTTTACAGTGGCCCCCTTGGGATGATGGCCTGCCATGACAAGTCTGTGCTTTGATGATTTTACCACAGCATATGGCGTCCTTCCCACATTTTTTTTTTTGTTTCATTTTGTTTTGGGACATGCTGTGTATTGAACTGTGCAAACTTTGCCTTCTACTGCACTTCTTTTTTTTTTCTTTCCAATTTATCTTTTCTACTCCGTTAAACCCTACACGATTCACATTCTGGACATTTGTTCATGTTCTAAGTATTTACAATACTTATTCTTTCCTCTCCGTGTCTGTATAAAACTTCCTTCAATATCTATCAAGCTTGCCTATCAAGTATTCTCCTGTAATAATTTTACTACATTTTGTCAGATCTGTATTTCTATATATTCATAAGTTATTGTCCAAAAAATTCAGGATTTTTTTGGTTTTTAAATAATTTTGTGCTGAGGATGGAATCCAGGGCCTCAGCTATGTGTGGTGTGTGCTGTACTACTGAATCTTACCTCTGACCCCTTCCAGACATGCTTTCACTCTTGCTGCTGGAGAGCTCTGTTGCACTGCATCACCTTAATAATGCAGATGCCATCACCTCCCCTGCCGACAGTCAGAAGAGTAGATACTGAGACATGTCTAAATTTATTATTATTGTTATTTTGGTTTGGGGACTATGCCTGGTGATGCTCAGAGCTGACTCCTTACTCTTCTCTCAGGGATCATACCTGGTTATGCTGGGGAGACATATGTGGTGCTGGGGATCAAACCAGGGTCGTTCGCATGCAGAACAAGCATCTTGACCCCTCTACTATTTTTTTCCAGCCCTAGATTGGCCTAGATTGATAGAATGTACATTTTTTCATATTAAAGGAGCATCTGGAATGAAGGCCATTGTGGACACGTTAATTTCAATGGTTGCCACCAACATGACGAACTGCATTGATTATCTTTTATGTACAATGTAATACCACCATTCCTATTAGAAATGATTAGTGTATGTATCAGAAGCCTATAAAAGTACTTGCACTCCCACCTCAACTTCTCTCTCCAGTCTCATGGTGGTTGCTTTACTTCTCAATTTAATTATGGTTGCTATTCACCATTATACACATACATACTTGATGGACTAACACTTCAGTGCTTTGATTTTACTCTCTTCTTTTTAACCAACTTCTGCTCATTCTTTAAGATTTAGTGCAAGACTTTCATTAGGAAATTCTACTTTCCTAATTTGGTTGCTTAATTTAATATTCAGTGCATGGGATTACATTTTATTTAATTTATTTAATTGGGTTTTGGGTCACACCCCACAGTGCTGAAGACTTACTCCTGGCTTAGGGGTCACTTCTGGCCATGCTCAGGGGACCAGATGGAATGCTAAATATTGAACTCCAGGAAGCTGCATGCAAGGCATACCTCTCTTCCTGGGCTCTATTCTGGCTTTCTTAAGTATGAATGTCCTAATTCAGTCCTTATACTCATCAGTTCAACTGGTTAATACTTCTCTGTATCCTTGAATTAGTGATTACTGATGTTTGATTTTAAAAATTGCTTTTTCCTCAATTTTTATTTTTGATGCTTTGTCCAACTATAGGCAAAAAATGGAATTCAAGAAATGGACTGTTGCTCTCTAGAATCTGACTGGATCTATTTCCATCCGGATGCGTCTGGTAGAATAATTCATGTTGGCCCAAATCAGGTCAAGTGAGTATTTTTATTACAGTAAAAATGTTAAAATAGGTTTTAGGGTAGAGTGATGGTATAGCGGGTAGGGTGCTTGCCTAGCACATGGCTGCCCTGGGTTCGATTCATCCCATATGATCACTTCAGGCTGCCAGGAGTGATTCCTGTGTATAAAGGTAGGAGTAAGCTCTGAGCAATGCTGGGTGTGCCCCCAGCCTCCCCAAAAAAGTTAAAATAGCTTTCGGTAGCATTTATTGGCCTTTTTATTTTTGCCATCTAACTATTGAGCCAATTTTGAAAATAGTTTGTTATAGCATACTTCCTCAGAGACTAGAAATCTGACTTTAATCATTCAGCCTCGTCATTACTGTTTGTAAAACTTACATTTGAGTAACTTCTTTGATGTCTGACAAATGAGTGAAAGGAGATTACAGATTGGCTTTTCCTCATCTAGTCTCAGTTAATTCTTCAGAATAAATGAAGAGACTGTAACTTGCCTTTGTTCTGAAAGAATGCCTTGACACAGGAGAAGTGGTAGATTGTGTGAAGTAGGCCATGTTTCACTTTCTAGCTTCTTATCTTCATCTTCCACATTCCCCTCCTTCCTTGATACTCTGTACATGTGGCTTCCCATAGTTCTCCAAAATATTTTTCTCCTGCTCTGATCTGTCTTAATCTCCTCTCATGTTCTTCCCCTTCCACCTCCACTCCAGTTATTGAATATTCACAGGACTTAGGCACTCTTCTCTTTTCCATGTTTACTCCTTTTCTGCTTGGCCCTTGCTTTTACAATCAGGTATTCACTAAAATTTCACCTGTTTAGGACTCGAGAGATAGTACAGCCGAAAAGGTGCTTGATTTGCACATGGCTGATCCTGATTTGATCCCCAGCACCCCGTATACTCTCCTGATCCCCCTCAGGAGTGAGCCCTGAGCACAGAGGCAGGATTTAAGCCTTGAGCACTGTTGGATGTGGCCAAAACCTCCCTCCCTCCCTTGCAACCACCCCTCCAAAAAAAAAAAGACCAACTTATTTAGCATAGTTTGAAATAACCTCCTCCTATGCAGGCTATTTCAGTCAAGCCTTCTTCTTATTCTTAGAAAGGCAGGGACTTCTTCCTACCATTTGGGGTTTGTTTTCCTTACATATTCTTCGCCTAAGTTTTGTTTATTCTATACCCAACTCAGTTGTCACTTTTTCAGAGTCCTTTCCTGGTACCCCTCATTAGATTAGTCTCCCTCATTATGTTTTCACTATATCACTGTGTCATCTTTTCATATAGCACTTAGAGAAATTTTAATTGTTTGTTTTTATTATCTGCTTAACCGACTAGCTTGGGAATCAGGGGCATTAAGCGAAGTGTTTTGCAGAAAGTGTCAGAAATACTCAGACACTGAGCAGAGAGCAGGTGTCAATTTGAAACAAAAGGGATGGTGTCTGCCTTTTTTCATCCTTACGCTTCCTGGTAATTAGTTTGCTTCTCTGGATTGAGTGTAAGAAGAATGAAGGCATTTTGTGAAATGTATTATGAACTTTCACAAGTAGTCTTAAAATCTATGGTTCAGTTTTAGTAAGCCTAAATTTTAATGCTTGTTACCAGCTATCTTTGAATAGGTGTCTGAGTTTAAGAACATGAGGTACACAAAGTGTGTGTGACCTTTTACCAGGTTTTGAAAGATAGGCACTTTTAAATATTGGCACTAATTATGATAACTAAGCACTTTAAATTGTAATCTGGCTTCTTTGTCTCTGGCAAACTTTAAGGCCGCCAGCTTTGCCTGGCTACAGAAACTGCTTCTCCCTGCTGTTCCTTTTGTCCACGTTTGAGACTTTAAACTTTAAGAACATTGTGCTTTTGAAGTTTATTAGTTTTGTGAACAGATTTGTGTGGATGGTGAGCAAATTATTTTCTCTTGCTTAGTAAGCTTGATCTTCAAGGCCATTTGCACATGGGGGAAAAAAACATATAAAATATAACCCTAAGGAAAGAAGAAAACTATTAAGTAATTGTGGTTTTTCAATATTATGGTTTTTCAATATTAGTTGGGCTGGAGCGATAGCACAGCGGGTAGGGCGTCTGCCTTGCACGCGGCCAACATGGCCGACCCGAGTTCGATTCCTCCGCCCCTCTCGGAGAGCCCGGCAAGCTACCGAGAGTATTCGATATGCCAGACACAGTAACAACAAAGTCTCCAATGGAGACGTTACTGGGCCCGCTCGAGCAAATCGACGATCAACGGGAGGGCCTTTACCTTTACCTAGTTGTACTATGAAAACTCTTAGTTTAGGGTTAGTTGCTTTTCTAGTCTATCTTATCAGTAATTGTTAAGTTTATTGATAGATAATCCCACTTTCAGAAGGGAAAAATGCAAATATCTATTATCATGTTACTAAATTATTTATTTTAATGCTAAACCCAGAACATTGAAACATGTTTCAAGATGGCAGAAATGAGGCTCTTTCGAATACTAAGTCATAAAGTTTGGAAAGTGGTTTAGGACTGTGGAAAATGTTCCATGACCTATATCATATACCTGTTTTGAGGCTCCCTATGTCTTTTCTGTTTAACAACCTGTCAAATGTGGAGAACTTATGGACACTTAAATGATCTGACATTCATATCATGGGATAAGCAGCAAGAGAGAATTAACTCAGTGTTTTTATAAGTTATGTATGAAATTGTATAACATATATGATGCACACTTAAAATTTTCATTTGTTGTGTTTCATTTCAATTATTTCAACTTTGGCACCTTGATGGTGTGTTGAAGGGCTTTTAGAATCCCTTTTCCCTTTTCAGAGTTTTAAAGCTAAATGAAGTGGAAAATAATAGTGGCCAGCATCAAGTCTCTGAAGATTTTGTCATTTTGGCCAACAGGGAGAATAACAAAGTAAGTCAGGAATACTTTAAAATCTTTTTATGTCACTGTCTTTCTCTACAAGAATATGATAGGCAAATGTGTTTGCCTTTTAGTGTTGCTGGAAAGCACAGCACAGTCCTATAAAAATCTAGGGCTGGAGCAATAGCACAGCGGGTAGGGCGTTTGCCTTGCACACAACCGATCCAGGTACCCGGGTTCAAATCCCAGCATCCCATATGGTCCCCTGAGCACCGCCAGGGGCAATTCCTGAGTGCAGAGCCAGGAGTAACCCCTGTGCATTGCTGGGTATGATCCAAAAAACAAAAACAACTAAAAAAAAATTGTTCTGCTTGACAAGGTGGTCTTAGTCCTATGTAGGTAAGAGATTTTAGAGTTAAATTATATTGTGTTTAATTTTGCTATTTTTTATTTCCTTTCTGGGTTTCTCTTTAATTTCTTTTTTTTTTTTTTGACAAGCAGTGTAATGACACAGTTTTTATTTGGAGGATTTGAAGGAAAGGAGGGAGAGAAAGTGGGAGAGAGTGGAGAGTCACATGCTCAAGAGAGAACCTGGGCTTCTCGAAGGGTGAATAGGGCCCCTACACACATCCCAGCATTAGGCATAAAAGCATGAAAGTACACTTCTCAAGAGGGGAGATGCGGGTGACACATGTGCTCAGCCACCACATGTTCTGGACCACATAGGCAGAAGCAGCACATGGGCTCGGGCAGCATATGCGCTCTGGCAGCATTTGCACTCTCTTTAAGTTTTTATTGATAAATTTTCTATCTTTGACTTTAATAAATTGTACAGACTATAGTTGAGATGTGTATAAATCTTTAAAAATTACACACTAAATTTTAACTCAGATGATCCTTTTCCTCTTGTATACAAATTAAGAACATAAAGAAATCATGCAAAGGGAAGTTTCCAAATGCAGATTTCCTTTCCATTTGTCACTTAATATTAAGACAAAAATCAGAAGAGCAAGTGGAATAGCAAGTTAGTAACCTTTGTCTTATTTTTTTCCTATTTTGATACTTTATCTAGTAAAAAATTTCATAAAATTTTTATTAATTAGAGACTTAGAATTTCCTCAGTTGAGGAAAGTAATGTTATTGATACTGGAGAAAGGTTGATTTGTTTTACCAAATTTGTTAGTCCAGTTTTGTCATTGACTATTCATAACAGAATTTCTTCTCTCTTTATTTCTCCCTATATAACAGAGTGAAAACTTAGTCACTGTTACATCTTCTGGACGGGTGGTAAAAAGGAATTTTAACCTTCTTGATGATGACCCTGAACAAGAGGTATTACTTTAGGCAGAGACAACAAGCCAAACTAGTGTGTCCTGGCCCTATGATTTTAAATTTATGGTTCCCAGACTGAGTGAAGAGTTTCACACAGAGTTAATCAGTAGGACTATTGGTGCTGTTTCATTCAGTACATTCCAAATGGGCCTCTCTTTAAACATTAGAATTATAAGATTTTGTTTATTTTAATTCGTAGAAATAAAATAATTTGAAGATACCATTAGGTTATTGTTCTGTTTTATGGTTATATACTATTTAGGACAAAAACTCTCCTAAGAGAAAGTTCTTAAGTTATATCCTGATGACTTTATAATTTTACCTTATTTTTTATTGCTAGACATGGATGTGTACATTAATGTTCAAGGGCCAGGGAAAGAAATATTTGAATACTGATCTACTTCCTCTGTAAGAATGTTAGAATCTAATGTTTTCCTCCTTGAAGGAAACCTTCAAGGAGGGTTCTTTGAAGCTAGGGTTCTTTTCCTCTTAGAATATTTACCACTATTATTTTTAACTAACACTCCTTATTCCATCCCTGTTCTGCGAATGGAATTCATATTCTCATTCGTAAAGGGCTTTGGCAGTAGCACATGGCTGATCTGAGTTCTATCTCTAGAGCCATGTATGGTCCTCTGAACTCCACCAAGAGGTGATCCCTAAATGAAGAGTCAGCAGTAAGACTTGAGCATCCAAGGGTGCCCCAAAAATAAACCAAAAAATATACATATGCTCACAGAGAAGCTGACATTTTTACTTTTTTTATCTCTTAAAGGAGGTAAATAGAGTCATAAGTAGTAAGATCGGTTATCAGTTCTTGACTTGTATTTTTCAAAATCTTCCCAAGCATAGTTGGGTAGTCGTCAGGTTTCAGAATTGAGTTTTATGTGTATATTCCTGTATGGGAATCATGTCAGTGGTAGTAGTTGAATTTTGAAGAAACTCTGGTTTGCTGTCATAGTAGAGAATTGCATTTATTACTTGGGTAGAGATCTACACAGACTTATTTCCATTTTACAGAATCTGTTGGAAACTAGGACTTGAAAATCTTTGGACTGAAATTTTATAAGATATATTGAATATAAGAAACAGAGTTCTAACTTTGCTGCCATCCATTCTGTCTCCATGGTTTTATGATTAATAGCATCATTAAATTACAGTTGTAGAAATGATCCTAATAACTGGGTTTTGCTCTCACTCCTGCTCTGCTTTTATCCATCTACCTACCAAGACTTTCAAAATCGTGGACTATGAAGATGAGTTGGATTTGCTTTCTGTGGTGGCTGTTACTCAGATAGATACTGAAGGGAAAGCTCATCTGGATTTCCACTGTAATGAATATGGAACTTTACTTAAAAGCATTCCACTAGTAGAGTCATGGGATGTGGTGAGTAGAATTCATGGAAGCATTTTTTTCCTAGGCGACATTTATAAATGGGTGTTACTTTATGTCAGCCTAGGCTCGCCTATAACAAAGACCACATAAAAGAGGGTCTCCCCTTCATGCAGCAGGTCACCATGAGTCCTGCTACAAGCATGCTCCCCCGGGGTCAAGAGGATGCGTGCTTAGCTTCAAGACCAAGCTTAAGTTTTACCCAGTCTTGTTTTCTCCTGTTTTCTGTTTGGTAATGTTTTTAAGACTAAAGTTACACTGTAATGAATTCCAAGATTTTGAAGAGATACCATATCTAAGCATGCTGGATTCCTGGCACTTTGCTTAGACGCTTTTGTCTATTCTTATGAGTATTGAAGAACATAAAAGTTACAAGAAACAGTAAACATTATTTCACCCTGTCCTTGCTCTGTCAGTGGAGAGTCTGAGCCACTTCACAGCTTAGCCACAGCTGTGCAGTGAAATGATAGCACTACTGTAGGCAACAGAATCTAGTTATTAAGATTTCTTAGTTACACGGTTTTTTTCACCTGCAACATTTTCTGAAATGCTTTTTTTTGGGGGGACATAATCTATACATCTACCCCCAAAAAAGGCTTTCTGGTAATGTGTGTGTGCGCGCGCGCACTCATGTGCGTGTGCGTGCTCTACCATTGGTATTTAAAATTCTAGGGATTATCTGAGAAGAGATTCCATTTGACTGTGTTTTCATTACAGACATATAGCCATGAAGTATATTTTGACAGAGACTTGGTGCTACACATAGAACAGAAACCCAGCAGAGTCTTCAGCTGCTATGTCTACCAGATGGTATGTGACCCTGGGGAAGAAGAAGAAACCACAAACAGAAGCTGTGACAAAAAATGAGATTTTCACTAATTTTAAAATTTTCAGATGTAGTTCAGAAGACTTTCAGCCAAACACCTTGGCAATTTTGTCGTGTTGTCTTTTTTTACCCTCTGCATATTAAATTCTCCAATATTTTCCAGTAGAGGTATTGCGTTGGCTCCAAATGACTGTGACTTCTTTTCTTAGACTCTAGTCAGAGAAGGTTGTGACAAAAGAAGTCTTTGATTCCAGAACTTTTAGCCAGTTGGCAGTGCAAATCTAAAATTTGCAAATCTGGGGAGAAGAAAAGTAAGAACCAGTTAATTCCAGTTGCTGGAGAGAGAAATATTGATGAGAAGGTGTTCAGCCTGGTTCTTAAAATATGGTCTGGAGTATTGATTGCCAAGACCAAAAAAAGTAGAAAGAAAAATACTGAATTTTTGTTCATGGATATAAAATGTTATCTCTAATGTGAAAGCTTGAAAGGTTTTTAAGAAAAATTATATTTGTATATATGTGTTGTTTTGGTGTATATTATCAGTAATTGACTTTTGTTCTTTTTATTTTTTAAACCATGTTTTTATTATTATTACAATATCATGATTTGCAAAGTTATTCACAGTACTGTTGTTCCAGGCATGCAGTGTTCCAACACTAATTCCACTACAGTGTGACCTTTCCTCCACCAGTGTTCCTAATTTCCCTCCCACCCCCAAGCCTCCACCCTTCTCAAGCACAAATTTACTTTATATTGCTTGCCAAAACAGAATGGCAAATGGAATTATCAGAAAATAAATACAAGTCAATTTATGATGATTGATTGTTTTCTCTCACAAGGGTGTTTATGGGTCATTGAGAATTTAGTGGGCTGGTTGGTGGAAAAAGACATTCCAAAAATGTTAAGTGTTAGAAACCCATTAACGCACTTTAAAATTGAGTAACTGTGTGATACACAGTTACAAAGCTATTCATGATTGGGTTTCAGTCATACCCATCTAATACCCATTCCTTCACCAGTGTGCATTTCCTACCTCCAGTGTCCCCAAATTTCCCCCCCCCACCAGTTTTCACCCCCTCCAGCCTCTGTTTCAGGCATTTTGGCATTCTCTCTCTCTCTCTCTCTCTCTCTCTCTCTCTCTCTCTCTCCCCCCCTCTCTCTCCCTCTCTCTCTTTCTCCCTCTCCCTCTCTCCCTCTCTCTTTCTCCCCCCCCCCCCTCTCTTTTTCTCCCCCTCTCTCTCCCTCTCTCTTTCTCCCTCTCTCTCTCTCTCCCTTCCTCTCTCCCTCTCCCTCTCACTCCCTCTCTCCCTCTTCCTCTCCTTTTCTTACATGCTTTTAGTCTCTTGGCTTGATGTTTCCATTGATTAGTTGTGTTTCTATTATATAATAATGTAAGAGATTTTAAGTGAAAATTTTACCAGTACATACCCAGCTTAGCGCGCACTCTCTCTTGCTCTCTTGCGCTCTCGCTCTCTCATAGTAAGATATAGAGTAAGCCCTCCCGTTGTTCGTCGATTTGCTCGAGCGGGCCCAGTAACGTCTCCATTGGAGACTTTGTTGTTACTGTGTTTGGCATATCGAATACTCTCGGTAGCTTGCCGGGCTCTCCGAGAGGGGCGGAGGAATCGAACTCGGGTCGGCCATGTTGGCCGCTTGTAAGGCGAACGCCCTACCACTGTGCTATCGCTCCAGCTTCTAGCGCTCTCTCATGACTTTACATAAATGTATGGATGTTTATATATATATATATGTATATATGTGTGTGTATATATATACATATATATATATATATAAGAATGTTCTCATTCCATCATTCTGTATATTTGGTAAGACTTCCAGTTCTTCCTCATTTTCTACTTATGCACTCAGATAAATGTATCCTGTATTGTACCAGTTCTCCCTGTAGAAGAGTTGAAAAGTTGCAAAGTTCAGTAGTTCTTAGTAGTTTAGAAACTGACTGATTAGCTAGAAGCAGCTAATGACTGCTATATGTAGACTATTTTTTCCTTTTTTGTTAGAACCAATATAAAATATTATGCTTGAAGTCAAAATAAATCAGATGATCATTCTTCAAAAAGTTAAAAGCAGCTAACGAGAGAAGGAGTGAGCCCTTGTACACACCTGGGTGTGACCCAAAAAAAACATATACAAACAAACAAAAAAATCTCAACTAATGGTGTAGCAATGTTCCTTTGTGCATCCTGTTTGACATGTTCAGACATTTGCAATCCACATATTTAGTACATTTCTCTGGTCTACCTCAAAAGAATAACTCTTAAAAATAAAATGGTATGAAACCGCAATAAAAATTATTGCTGATTCAAATTTAAAATTAAAATACTGAATTTTAGCATGAAAGTTTTACATTAAAATCCTTTCCTCATTTTTAGCATGAATCCACATTTAGAATTATGTGAATAAGAGAAGTAATACAGGGGGTAGGATACTTGCCTTACACATGGTTAGCCAACCCCAGTTCAAACCCCAGCACCACATATGGTCCTTTGAGCCCTGCCGGGAGGGCTCCCTGAGCACAGAGCCAGGAGTAAGCCCTGAGCATTGTGAGATGTGGTCCAAAAACAAAAGAGAGAATGATGAGAATTTTGCTCAGCGTTCCCCATGAAGTTTGCAGGTGAATTTTAAGTTCATCATCAGGACTGGTCATCAGGGTGGAGGCTCAGAAAGATGTTGATTATTCAAGGCGTTAAGAAATTAATAAAAAGTCAATAAATTTAAAATAATAATAATGATCCTAAAACTATATTTTGCACAATGGGCAATAAGTTGCTAACATTTTACAATAAGGGGAAATACTTATCTATGAACCAAAAATAAATCTTTCTGAATCTGAGCATATCTATAACAACCATCTTGGAAAATAGAAGTGAACACCTTAGGAGCAAGATGATAAAATTATCTCTTTATATTAAATTCTGATCCTCTTATGTGTCTAGTTGAAAATCCATTCTCACTTTATGTATATTTAATAGTACTCTTTAATATTTGAAAATTTCAGAACATGCAAGGCCATCATTATAGTTACAAAGTAATTGAATAGTTCTCATGTGCTAGGTTGCCCCAAACTTCCACTGGACACTATCCATACCTAAACAGAGAATTGACTGTACATTGCATTTACTTCTTGAAAACAATCTGGTAAGAAGAAATAAATTGAAATATTAGAGAAAAGAAAGGAAGCACAGTTATGAGGGTTTCAGAGCAGATGCAGTACTATGTAAAAAGCAGATTTTCTCTTAATTTCTAATAGTGTTTCTAAAGATCGAGCGGGCCCAGTAACGTCTCCATTGGAGACTTTGTTGTTACTGTGTTTGGCATATCGAATACGTCACGGGGAGCTTGCCAGGCTCTGCCGTGCGGGCGAGATACTCTCGGTAGCTTGCCGGGCTCTCCAAGAGGGGCGGAGGAATCGAACTCGGGTTGGCCATGTTGGCCGCTTGTAAGGCAAACGCCCTACCCGCTGTGCTATCGCTCCAGCCCAGCAAGCTACCGAGAGTATTAGATATGCCAAACACAGTAACAACAAAGTCTCCAATGGAGACGTTACTGGGCCTGCTCGAGCAAATCGACGATCAACGGGAGGGCCTTTACCTTTTTACCTTAGTGTTTCTAAAAAAGATTGTCTTTGTACATCAACCCTGTAATATTTTTAAGGTGTTTATCGAGTTTCCCCTTCTCAATGAAGTCATTGCCTTTAGAAAAGAGAAAGGAAGGAAAGAAAGAAAGAAAGAAAGAAAGAAAGAAAGAAAGAAAGAAAGAAAGAAAGAAAGAAAGAAAGAAGGAAAGAAGGAAAGAAAGAAAAGATAGATTACTGAGAGAAACTCAACTGCCCAAGAAATCTAGATCTGAGATTTCTGGTGGCTTTTCCAGTGGTGCAACAAGGGTGGTTAGTACCGAATCCCCTCCAGGGGAGGGTGGGTATTTCCCACTTTGGAGAAAACTTGACTTAAAAAGTAGATTAATAGGGGGTTGAATACTATTAGTCAAATAGGAATTGACTGCAAGAAACTCCTACCTAATGTCTCAGGTCCACCAAAATCAAATCAGACCCGGATCAGCATGCCATATGGGAGCAAACAGGAAGTGTAGCTAGTGTGAAAAGACAAGAGGGAGATGTGGGCAGTGTTACAAACAGGAGGACTGTGCCCCAACTAGAAGGACAAGCTGCTACTACTTCATTTCAGCCAGTGTCTCATGTGGGAATTGAGCTGCATGACAGTTAACTGGATGGTGGATTGAAAACTGCCAAAATCAGTCAGCAGAAAACGCCGAGCACCACTTGTTGTAGCTCAAGTCCCTCCTCCCGCCCCCCCAGAAAAAAAAATGTTGAAGATAAAGTATGTTCAAACTTTGTAGATAACTGGTAGGAGAGAAGTCCACTTCTTTCCCCAATAGTGTAGATTTCCTCACAGGCCATGCAGCCCTTCATTCTGCCAGCCAGTAGGCATTAGACTGACGTTCTCCAAAATAGAAGTTCCCATACTTAACTGGCCTACTGCCCCTTTTTCAGGAAAAAAAAATTTTTTTTTTTTACTCAGCAACCCCCTGTTAATCTGCTTTTTTAAATAAAGTTTTCTCCAAAGTGGGAAATACCCACCCTCCCCTGGAGGGGACACAGTACTAACCACCAGTGTTGCACCATTGGAATAATGCTTCTTGTACACTGAAGGTCAGTTTCCCAGTGGGGGGGAGGGGGTGGGGGGTATTGCCCTGAAGTTTTGTTGTTGTTGTTATTTGTTTTTCTGAAAGGGGACAGTCAGCCAAATAACTCTGGGAACTTCTGGTCTTAGAATGGAAGAAAGTGGTTAATACCCCCTTGCCCTACTTCAGCCTCCCCTCCAACTCCACTTTCACCTATCTGCTTAACAAGTGCTAGTGACAGTCCTCAGGATTCCTAATTCCTGAGGATTTAACACAAAGCTAGAGGATGTGGGATAGCTTCTTTCAGCAGTCCCAGATACTAAGCTGATAAGTTTGCTTTGAAGTAGGGGATGAGACTTGGTGATAAAAAAAATAAAAGTATGTTCTTTTACATGTGTGAGACCCTGGATTATTTAAAAAAAAAAAAAAAGGTTGTATTTAGGGGCTGGAGTGATAGTACAGTGAATAGGGCATTTGCCTTGTACACAGTGGACCTGGATTCAGTTCCCAGCATCCCATATGGTCCCCCGAGCACTGCCAGGAGTAATTCCTGAGTGCAGAGCCAGAAGTAACCCCTGTGCATCACTGGGTGTGACCCAAAAAGAAAAAAAAAAGTTGTATTTCTATGTATTACTTCTTGGTCTAAGATTGTGTATTCTGACAGTGTGAGTGCCACAAGCGTATTGCTTTTTGACCTTTCTAAAACATTTCCTTAAAGGCAAATACTACCACAATTACTATTAAAATACCCAGTGAGGAGATAAGATTTTTCAACAACTGAAAATTTTTTTTCTCTGACATCCTTATTCAAAATGATAACTTATTTAGTGTTTCCTGTTCACTATGATGTATGTTGAATGAATTGTCTCTCAGCATTGAAAATCATACAGGGAATGAACTACCTTTGATCATTGTATAATTGAAAAAATTTGTAAGTCTACAACTGTACCTCATGGTGTCTCACTAATAAAAATTTTTTAAGAAATGGGGTCAACACAGCAAAAAAAAAAATGAAGAAAGACTGACCAGTTAATTTGCTTAATGCCACACAGTTGTTGCACACAGAAGTGG